CCGTTACTAATAATTGGTTGGTATAGCAGACTAGCAGCAATCACAACAACATAATTTGTTGTTACATATTTACCGATCACCGGTTAAAGGTACTGGTAGCTTGCTAAATTAACAAAATCCTTTCTCTCAGTGAGCGCTGTAATACGTGCGCGATCAATTTCAATATTATTGAATTGTATATATCTTATTTAATTATTGATTTGTATACATGTTTCGGCTAACCTTTTAGCCATCTTCAGTACATCTTTGTAAACCTGGCACCCGACTTTTTATAAATTAAATTTTTTTATAAAAAAAATGATAGTATTTCGTTTGTAGTTGATTGTAGTAACAATAGTTTCGTTTGTAGTTTAATAAAATAAAAGATAAAAAATGATTAAAAAATGACTGTCATCCGACTTTAAGATAAAAAAAAATGTTAATGTAAAATCTTGATTCAGAATCGTATGTAGTTGTTTGTAGTGATTTTCCGGTCATTTGTAGTTGCACCGTTTAAAAGTTATGATAAATTAACAATAAACAAAAATATAACTTTAGCAATTTCCAAGATATTCAAAATCTGTTTGCGGCATCTTACATAGTATCGTTTGTAGTTGTTTGTAGTGATTTTCCCATCGTTTGTAGTTGAGCCGTTCAAAAGTTATGATAAATTAACAATAAACAAAAAACGTAACTTTGGCAATTTTCAAGATATTCGAAATCTGTTTGCGGCATTTTACATAGAATCGTTTGTAGTTGTTTGTAGTGATTTTGCTTTCGTTTGTAGTTGCACCGTTCACGAGCTATAGTTATTTAAACAATTGTATAAAAATGAATTTTTTTAATTTACAAGATATCTGAAATTCGCCTACAGGGCTCGATTCAGAATCGTTTGTAGTTATTTGTAGTGATTTTCCCGTCGTTTGTAGTTGAGCCGTTCAAAAGTTATGATAAATTAACAATAAACAAAAAAGATAGATTAAACGGTGTAACTACAAACGACAGGAAAATCACTACAAACGATTCTATGTAAGATGCCGCAAACAAATTTCGAATATCTTGAAAATTGCCAAAGTTACGTTTTTTGTTTATTGTTAATTCATCATAACTTTTGAACGGCTCAACTACAAACGACGGGAAAATCACTACAAACAACTACAAACGATTCTATGTAAGATGCCGCAAACAGATTTCGAATATCTTGAAAATTGCAAGTTACGTTTTTTGTTTATTATTAATTTATCATAACTTTTAAACGGTGCAACTACAAACGGCGGGAAAATCACTACAAACAACTACAAACGATTCTATGTAAGATGCCGCAAACAGATTTCGAATATCTTGAAAATTGCCAAAGTTACGTTTTTGTTTATTGTTAATTTATTATAACTTTTAAACGGTGCAACTACAAACGACCGGAAAACAACTACAAACGATTCTGAATCAAGATATATTAACATTTTTTTTATCTTAAAGTCGGGTGAGTCATTTTAAAAAAATTTTGTATCTTTTATTTTATTAAACTACAAACGAAACTATTGTTACTACAATCAACTACAAACGAAATACTACCATTTTTTTTATAAAAAAATTTAATTTATAAAAAGTCGGGTACCAGGTTCACAAAGTCCTCAGTCCTCAGTACGTACAGATGATTCCATGTGATAAAGTAAGAAAGTTGAAATGTATGAAATTAGGCTACAGTATTCGCGCGCGCATGGTTTTCCTTATTTTTAGTATCCGCAATGTTTCCATTAGAGGTGGTCAATCTTCACGTCTTTGAGAAAACGCAATCAGTTGACTAGCTCGATGGTGCAATCATGATTAAGCACCTTCCATTGATTTACAAAGTTTATTAATAAATTTTAAGTATATTCGCTAGAATAATGAATTTGATTGGAACAATATTGAAATCTTGGACACCGAACGAAATCATAATAAACGATTAATGTCGGAAATGATTCACATAAAGCGACAAACCAATGGCATTAATTTACAGACACCGAATTCTTGGACAAGATATATGAACCGATCTTAAAGATGCTTTGATTTTCTTAACTACATAAACAATGTTTATGACACATGACTCTCAGCAACGACTTTCGGAAAGACCTTAACGTTTCACAGTTTAAATTAGACAAGACAGCAGTTTACTTCATTACTCTAATACGAACAATAATTTATTGCAAAGCTTTTTTAATTACTAATTGATTGGTTATTTATATCATTGACGTGTATCGGCAGTGGTTTGATGGAGATGAGGTAACACCATTATTCTAACGAATATACTTAGAATTTGTTAATAAACTTTGTAAATCAATTGAAGGCGCTTAATCATAGTTGCACCATCCAACTAGTCAATTGGTTGTGTTTTCTCAAAAAAGTGAAGATTGACCACCTCTCATAAAAACATTGCGGATATTAAAAATAAGGAAAAATATGCGAGTACCATAGCCTAATTTCATATATCTCAACGCTTACTTTATCACATGAAATCATCTGTACGTACTGAGGATGGCTAAAAGGTTAGCCGAAACATGTATACAAATCAATAATTAAATAGGATATATATAATTCAATAATATTGAAATTGATCGTGCACGTATTATAGCGCTAATTCCCTATTTGCCGAATTTATTATAATTATATTTTTATATATAGAATTTAGAATTTAGATTATCATTCGTTTAAATTTCACTATTAACCCAGGAAGTCATTTAGTTAGTTTTTTTTTACGTAAATGATTACTCTACATATATAGAGTTTTTTTACACTCCTAAATTGACATTCAAAATATCAAGCATTATTGACTGTTTTTTTTTATTTTTTAAATATTAATATTAAATTTCTTATAGAACAGATGGGATATGAAATTGTTTGACTTTCTTAATAATTATGTTCTTTATAAATAATGATAAATAGTGATAAAATATTTGCTTTTTTATCACTTTCTAATTTCTTTATTTTCAAAATAATTTATTCGCTTGGTTCTTTTAGTAAGAAATCTGTAATCGCACGAGAATGGATTTAAATAGTTGAAAATGGATTCAGATTTTCAGAAATACGCATTCGCGCGAACGTTAAAATAAATCCTTTTCAATTCGGAATGCATTTTCATTCATTTATAGGAATTGCATGAAACATATTTCTATGCCTTTTAATCCAAAAATACTATCAGCTTTTTCTGTGCATCGTGAACACTGCTCAATTCAAAATTCTGAATATGAAATGCAGTTTTTCAATCCACTTGCATCCAATTGAATCTAATTGAATCCAATTGAATTTAATTGAATTCGGATTGAATCCAATTGAATCCAAAAAAAAAGTTTTTGCTATTTAAAATACGTATTCGGATAAATAAAATTTCAATCCATTTTAATCTATTCTCGTTTACTAGACGTATTTCTAGTGTTAAACATTATTGTTATTTATTAATTATATATTGTATATTATTGATGTATAATTTATTTAATATTTGAGATAATCATGTGTACAGATTTATTGACTATTTTTAAAAAAGCAAAAACATACGGATTCTCAATCAGTGAAGAAAACGTCTGAACTTCATTTTCTCATTGCCGTAAAAAATCGCTCTACGTAACTATTCCTTGTTAAATCTGAAATAAAATTCGATTAGATAAAATAACCTTATTTCTACATTGGTTTTCCCAATGCAGAGAACCATTTATGCGAATTGATTAATTAAAGATTTATAGAGGCAGAGAGGAGAGACTTTCAGATGTGCTATTGTACCTCGCTAAGCACCGACAATTGTAATTCGCGTTGAAATTCGATACTACATCACTCATGAATGAAGTTTCACCACGTGGACTGCGAAACTGCATGCGATCGCCATCTCTCGCGAGACGTGCGAAAGCTGCGCGTAAACATTGAGGAGGATTGTATTGTCCCTTTCTCTTTCCTTACCTTGATTCGATAAAAATCTCTCCCTCGTGGATTCTGGTACGGTTGATTTATCACTCTGAAATATATACACGAACCGCGAATCTTAGTTCTACTGCACTCTCACTGAGATCTGGAATGCCGATTACTCTAGTCTCCCGTTACAATGAGATTTCACGAGATTTTAGTTCCGCGTATTTCATACTCGATTCAGGAATCCCATTTTAAATTGCATTAATTTATTTTTATTATATATACATTCTTATATCAATATATCAATTCTAATAATATGATTCCTGATTTCAATTTTTTTCTGATTCTGGAATCCCAAAAGTCTTAAAATGTAACAAATAAATTAATAATACATAATGCTCTGGCAAAATAATCAGTAAAATTGTAATTGCCTTTAAAAGTCAACACAGGATATCAGAGTGTATAAATAATTTATTCTATATAAATATTAATAAGAATATACGTTTCAATCACTGTGTGTGTGTGTGTGTGTGTGTGTGTGGTTTGGTTCCTCTCCAGTACATAGTTAAGTGAAATATACAAATTAATACTATGATAATGTATGAACATAGTCAATTTTTAATTAATCTTACAAAAACTTTTTTCAAGTCGAAATTATTTTTGTGGCGACGTTGAACTGAGTATTAGTGTGTTGTTATTGCATATATGTAGTTCGTCCATTTACATTAACGCATTAAATTGCCGAATTTACTAAACATTGAATATTACAATATTAATTATAGATTAAGGAGATTATAAGGGTATAAAACATATATTATATTTACGTTTTAAACAAAATACGTACATACGAAAATTGTGTTCATAACATTCTGTTTTTATTGAACACATTTTTATAGATCATTTATTTTCAAATAATTAAGATAAAATAAAATTGAGCTCTCGAGATAACAAATAAATATATTGATAAATTAATCCAGGCGATTGAGAGCAGAATTGTGACGCCGTTATTTAAGCGTTATATATAAATTATATTTCATAGATCTTACATGTATATTAGTATAACATTGAACGTTTCGGTTTCAAAGTTATATTCTGTAAGCGAAAATTTTCTTAAAGATTCATCACAATAACTTTGGTTAATGTATTTAATGATTCGAAGATTGCAGTGATAATCATTTAGCCACAACCAAGTGACGAAGAGGCTTCTCAACGGTCAAACTGAAGAGGCTCGCTATGCTGCATTCTCGGATTCGAACACGATAGAATAATTGCGTAATGTTGAAATTAACACTTGAACATCGCTGATGATGGCTCGAACTGAGCCGAAATGTTCGATATATATTACACTATATACATATAGATTTATGAAATATAATTTATATATAACGCTTAAATAACGTCACAATTCTGCTCTCAATCGCCTGGATTAATTTATCAATATATTTATCATTTATTTTATTTATTATTATTTTCATTGTTATAAACAAACATTTTTTTAATGATAAAAAATCTAAATTTTTTTGTTTAAGTGTTACAAATGACTTGCAAAGTTTCATTGAGATTCACCAATTCCCTTATAAAAATTTTTCACCGTTTTTAGCCCGTTTTTAGCCCGTTCTTGCTCGTTTCTTGCACTCGCAAGCACTCAGTGTATCATGAAGGAACGATAGTGAGTATACACGAGTATGCAATAAGTATTTTTGAGGAGATTGTCCGTTTTCAATACT